TAGTTGTGGCCATGTAACTATATTTTCAACAATGGAATGTAAGCAAAACTGATATATGCAACTTGCATTATTTGTTTAATGTCCTCTCTTCTCTTTCTTTGGTCCTTTACACAGAGGTTAGAATGCAGTGGGAGTTGAGTAAACTTTGGCCATACAGAAAGGGTAAGACCCTATAGGATGGAGGAACAATATGGGAGAAATATGAGTCTCTGAGTAAACTTGTGAAACAGAGCTACCTATCTGCCCTGGGCTACTTGTCCACCTGTTTGGTGATAAATACAATTCTACATTATTTAAGCCATTGTATTTCTGAATCTTTTGTTATATCACCTTGGCCTATCCTTTACTAATATATTCTCTAAAGTTCAATGACCAAATTGTATGGCTATGTGCATGTGAGCACGTATGTGCAGTGTGTGTACACCACTGTTTTTTTTTTGAGAGGGCATCTCTCATATTTATTGATCAAATGGTTGCTAACAACAATAAAATTCTGTATAGGGGAGTCAATGCTCAATGTACAATCATTAATCCACCCCCAGCCTAATTCTCATCAGTCTCCAATCTCCTGAAGCATAACGAACAAGTTCTTCCATGTACACCATTGTTTTCATGCCTAGTATATCTAATTCTAAAAACATAAAACCTCACTATCCAATTCTAAATGGGTAAAAATAAAATACAAGCAATAAATGGTATAAAGACAGGTTCTTCTGTCTTAAAAACTTAGAATTAGAAAGGCCACTTGTGCCTATCCTTTTTCCTAAGTTGACTGTTCAGCTTTCCCAGCAATTCTGGGAACTAATATGATTCCAATCAATTCCTATCCTGCTTAAATCAGCCAGTAAATTTCAGTTGTTTAAAACTAAGAATGCTGATTTATAACAGATACAGATAGGTTTTAGGGGGTTCATGAACTCCTTGAGCTGTACAGGAATTAACACACACACACACACACAAACACACACACACACACACGCATGCATGCACCTGCATATGCACTCAGAGTGTTTTTTTGGGGGAGAGGCTCCATAGCTATGTCAAGGGAATCCATGATATGACTTAGGCATATATGTGAGTGGGAAAACAGTAAGAAAAGGTGGCATTATGAAGATAACCCCACGTTGGGCAAGGAGGACCCATGTGCCTTTTCAGATGAACCAAACTATACAGCAACAAATGCCCAAGGACGAGAAGAGTTCAAGGGTATCTGCCATTGAAACAGAGTAGCAAGTACCCAATAAGATGGGTCAGATGACTGTGGCCATCTCAAGAGATTATACCACAGGTATCAAGGTCAATATCAACAGTGGTAGGTTAGGTTGGTAAGTATGTATCCTGGATATGATGTAGGGAAAATGTCACTTGACCTTTATGGTTTTCCTCCCCCAACCTTGTAACTCTAGTCTAATCACAAGAAAAAAATCAGACAAATCCTAACTGAATAAGGCACTCTGCAAAACACCTGACCAGTACTTCCCAAACTGCCAAGTTCATTAAAACCAAGGAAAGTCACTGTCACAGCCCAGGGAAGCCTAAGGAGACATGATGACTAAAGGTAACATAGTATCCTGGATAGGACCCTACTACAGAAAAAGGATGTTAGGGAGGAATCAAGGAAATCTAAATAAAGAATGGACTTTAGTTAATAATAATGTATCATGTTGGTTCATTAACAGTAAGAGGTGTATCACACTAATGTAAGATATTAAAATAGGGGAAACTGGGTCTGGGATATATAGAAACTCACTTTGCTATCATCACAATTTTTCTGTAAATTAAAGATTGTTGTACAAATACAAGGTTTCTTAAATGTAGTTTTACTTAGTAACCTTGAGCAAGTTACTTAGCCTTTCTGTGCCTCATTAGCCTCATCTATAAAATTAGAATGATAGTAATCTAACTCAGAAATTTGTTGCAAAGACTAAATGAGTTAATATACTAAAATGCTTAAAGAACTCTTCTACCTCAACACCAAAAAACCTAATAACCCTATTTAAAAAATGGGTGGAGGACCTGAAAAGACATTTCTCCAAAGAAGAAATACAGGTGGCCACCAGGCACATGAAAAGTGCTCCACATCACTAACCATCAGGAAAATGCAAATCAAAACCACAATGAGATATAGCCTCACACCAGTTAGAATGGTCACTATCTAAAAGACAAGAAATATCAAGTGTTGGTGAGGATGCAGAGAAATGGGAACCTTCTTACACTGTTGATGGGAAAGTACATTGGTGCAGCCATTAATGAAAGCAGTGTGGAGGTACCTCAAAAAACTAAAAATAGAAATACCAAACGACCCAGTAATCGCACATCTAGGAATTTACCCGAAGAAAACAAAATCCCTGATTCAAAAAGATGTATGCACCTCTACGTTTACTGCTTCATTATTTATGATAGCCAAGATACAGAAAAAACAAACTGTCCATCAATAGATGAATGGGTAAGATGTGGTACATATACACAATGGAGTATTATTCAGACATAAAAAAGAAAGAAATCCTGCCACTTGTGATAACATGGATGGACCTAGAAGGTATTATGTTAAGTGAAATAAACAAAGACCACATAATTTCACTTATTTGTGGAATATTAAAACAAAACTAAACTAAATGAACAAAACAGCAGTAGACTCAGACACTGAGAAAAGACTGGTAGTTACCTTGGGGAAGGGGTTAGGGTGGGTCAGGAGGGGGAGAGGGATAAAAAGGCACAAAAATTCTCAATTATAACATAAGTTGGTCACAGCGATGGTACTACAGCATGGAGTATATAGCTAATGATTCTGTAACATCTTTCTATGTTGACAGATAGTAACTGTACTAGAAGGGGTGAGGATTTAATAATTAGGTAACTGCTGAACCACTGTGTTGTATACTTGAAGCCAATATAAGATTCCATAACAACCACAGTTCAATAAAAAAAAGATTACTTTTTCTGGACTTCAATCAGTTCCACAATGATTATAAAGATGAAGTGTTGGGCATCCTGAAAAAAAAAAGCTAAAATGCTTAGAATAGTGTCTCACAGATAGTAAGAACCCAGTCAGTGTTACTGTTATTTTTTACTATTTGTAAAGTTCAGTAATATTTTATACATATTGACTAAAAAACATTGACATGCAAAATATTAAACTCTAACTCTACAAAGTTTGAAATAATGAAATTTTCTCCAAAATGGCAAAAATATACAATACAAAGCTGGCAAATGAAGCCAAGTGTAAATTGCTTATCCTATGGTGGGTGGGTTACCATGTAAACCTTGCAGGCCCTGGTAAGAATTCATCTTGAATTAACGTCTTAGGAACCTACTGCCAACCATAAATGGTAACAACTCTTGTTACTTAGGGTCTGAAATCCTTCATGGTGTAAAAAACATTTAATACCAAAGTAATGACTTAGATGCTACCCATGGAGAAAAAATGGCTAGGCTATAGACCCAAGATTAAAAGTAAAAATAATTTAGGTGTATGGCAGCAGAAATTAGCACACGTCTAAGGCTCAGGCAGACACTTCTCTTCATTAGAATACATTTGTTCAACCAATTCAGAACTATGCCTCTTATCCCCTGCTTCAAACTGTACAGACCCACTGTAGGTGCTATGATTCTGTGTATGTAAAACCACTCAGCTGTCTTCCGCTTTCCTAGTAACTCAAAATTTCAATCTAAGTTCTGAGATCTATGTAAATATTTTATGTTGATGACCTAAATAAGAAATTCTCTGTATATCATATGTATTTCCCCATTATGTGTTTAATATTTTAAGATACCAATCTATAGCATATTCAAATAAAATGTTTACTGTATATTTTATTATATATATTATATATTGTAATTACACATATTTAATATATTAGAAAAAAAAGGAATTGCTCCTTTTATATACAAAAATTTGATGAATGTCAGTGTAGCTTCTTATGACATTACTAGTGATAGGTTTTGATTTGTTTACAATAGAAGGGCAACCACCTAGAGAGACTGCTCATTTAACCAAAAAGCTGGCAGCAAATACATGTATCTTTATGACAAAGATCAAAGATGAAGAGCTGGAGGACTGAGGGAAGATGTTATAATTAGATGTATTTAATCTAGAAAAAAGTGGGGAAGTAAAAGTATATACATTAATGACAATTCCAAAATCTAAAATGTTTTTTCCTTTTTTGCAATGTTAGGATAAAAATTTCAAACCATCAAGAATATTAAATCACTTTGACACATTTCCCCTCATATATCTAAAAATCAGAGACATTTTCTTTAAGCACATTTTTGAGATAATATTTTAGAAATAGTTTGGTCACTGCAGATGTGAACGGTTTTCTCCCATCTTAATATTCACTTTCTCAATCTCCTTGATAAGCATTTTTTAAACAACTATATCTATTCTAGATTTTATAAAATGTTTTATTTTTAAATAAAAACATAAATTCTATATTTTTGAAGTATGTACATAGCAATCTCAGTCAAAAAAAAGGAAATCTTTTTCTTTCAAAATGAGTATCCTGCCAAGAGGATATTTCAATATGGAAACTAAAGAATAGATTAGCTTATTTTCAGTAATCATTAGCTATGCAAACTACCATTGTTGTAAGGAAGTAAATTACAGCGACTAATGTGCATATAATCTTTCCAAGATTACACATGTAAATAAATTTTTACTCACATATGTATAATCTCTCCAGGAAATAGGTAAGTGTTAAGATTTTTATAACTTATGCTGGTAAATAAATGAGTTTTGTTTTTTCTAATTTCATTAAAATATTCTTGATACATTGTATTTTCAAGTGGAAAGATGGTTACTCTGGTTTCGTATGATAAAACTGCAACCTTTTACTACATACATTACTCTCTTTATGGCAACAAGTCTCCAGAGAAAATACAAGGCAATGAAACAACATTAACTGTTAATCTCCATGATAAAATTATTAGTGGCTCTTACCACTTAAGATTAACACCAGTCATAAACTATTTTTTTAATGTAAGTTAAATATACTCATTACCTATGTAAAAATATTCCCCTCTCTCCATTACACAAGCGATTATAGATGACTGGTTTATATTTGTTATTATTCCAACACCACAGTTCAGAATTCCATGTTCTAAAGGTTAGAAAAGGAGAAGGTTATAAATATCCCCAAGAGATACTTGAATTTATGAACTCATTTTGTGTCAACCTCATGATGCTATATTGATAATAACCAACATACAAAGTTGGTTATCAAAACCTACAAAGAAGTTTCAAAAGAAAAAGACTCCACTTATCAAACTAGACAAATGATGTCTTTAAATATTTAGAAATATTTTCAAGTGAAGATAAACCAGAAAGATTACTTTCATACTCTAACTTGTTACATAACATGCTATACTAGTTATAACTGATTGATAAGAAAATCATTTCAAAGAAAAAGCCAGGTTCCAAGAATGAAGATGGACAAAGTCATTATACTTTTTCTTTATGTTCTCTTCTCAAAACTCCTTTCCCCTCTTCTTGCCCCCTTTCCACCAGCTGACCACATTTAGCCCCCTATACTCTCCTGAAGATTGCCCTTCATTTCCCTAAATAGAACAATTTTCAGTGAAGTGAAGGTTAATAGGAATTAGTAGCTGTCATCTTAGAAATAGACATGTTAACAGTAGTCTCTGTATTAGTCTGGAGAGCTGCAACAAATACAGGACAAAGCATTAATCAGAAGAACAATATTATTGACAACTACAGTGGTGTAAAAATATTATTGACAACTGCAATGTGCACCTCCTTGTAAAACCTTTCATTTTCATTTAAAATTAAGAAATCACTCTATAATCTGTTGCAAACTGAAATTACATAAAAATAGACACTACAAAAATGTTCTATTGTTTTGCTATGACTATAGAAAGTAAATGAATGAAGCAAACTGCAAGCAATGATGCATAAAATTGCTACTATATATTATCTTCAAGGCAGAGCCAGATCTATACATGAAACACAAGATATTTCAAAATGACTGCTATTTGTTGTCTTTAAAATGTTACAGAATTAAAATTAATGTTAGAACATTAAAAAAATCCTAGCAAAAGTACCACATATATATATATATATATATCAATATGTCATATACTGATAAGTATATGGAGGTATGGATATATTCATAGATTTTAATTAACGATACTAAATTATTTTAAACATTATAGAGACTATACCCCCACACCCGATTTCTAACAGTAAGAAAAAATCAACCTGCATGAACTGGAATCAGATTCATTTTCTTCTTCACTAGTGTCATCATCCACTTCTGGTCTATCCGGCCACTGTGCATCGCCACAGTCTTCTGCTGTAAACTCAAATGCAGGGACTTCAGAGGTGGATGCCATTGGCCAAGAAGGTGAATTCTGAAAATCTAGTTGGCTGGACCTTCGGTAACCAATTGAAGCCAAAGGCAATTGCAGGCTACATGGATCTACAAACTTTCTCCCACCGTTTGCTCCAGTCTGTCCTCGATTCCAAAATTCTCCCTGCTGGCTGTCAACTGTAGAATTAGGAGATGATGCTTGATGGCTAAACCACCTCCATCTGATTTTCAATATCTGCTTCACATCAAACTCTTTACGAGAACCAGACATCCTCAGAGAAACCAAGCGATCGTCTAGGCAACGGGCAAAAAGCACTGCACACAGATTTGTGCATCCAACCAAGACAAGAGAAGTATATGCCCTGCTGTACACAATAAACAGATTGAAAGGAAAATAATCACATTCACATATATATATATCTACATTTACTTTTATACCAGTATTTCAGATCATAAAGAACAAAGGATAATGAATAAAGATGAAACACAGTGGAACATTCCGTTCAATCAGAGCAAACTCTCATCCACCTATCCTGGAACAGCCAGACCACTTTCTCCCTCTCCTTTTCCAGACTGACCATTAGCTCTCACAAACACTGACAGCATTCATTAATGTTCTTTCAAATGCAGAACACCACCCTCTTTTCTTAAACAACAAATGACAGAGACAGAAAGCACTATCCCGTTGCAGTATCTCAGTCTCTGCTGCTTAGCATATTAACTCTTTTATTGCTGAAACAAGATGTTTATTCCAGAGCATTTTCCTTTGTACTTAAAAACCACTGTAAAACTAAAATGTTTCTATATTCATACTAAGTTTTATATGAGATACCACAAAACAATAGCTTTTTAAAACACATTTTTTAATTAGATGAATATAGAGTGATTTTCAAGCTGTTATCTGGGATGGGGCATGAGAGGAGGAGGAATACAAAGGTGTGGCTTTCCACTTCTATCTTCTCCCATCAGGAAGGGAATATTTTTAATTAATATAGTAAGATCCTGGATAACATTTCATTTGAGCAAAGAATAATGAGAATAAAAAGAAAAAGTTTGAAAACTACAAGGATCAAAATATGACAGTACTTACTCTTTTTCAAATAAATAACCTGAAGACAGTATTGCTCTATAATTAGGATTGGACCTTTTTAGTCTAATGTCCAAATTTCTATGGTATTACTTAGAAAAAGGGAACCATGGCTTAAGAAAGCTGCCAGTGTCTGGGATAGGGTTATTTCTTGGGTCTACCAGTACCCTAATGTTGTCTTCTGTTGTTAGCAAAACAAAACAATGGTCTGAGCATGGTTACAGTTAAGGCAAATTGATAAAGCAAATAAAAGTCAATTGAATGCAATCAAGTTTTAAAATACTGAGTAGTTATTAAGAGCAAGACACTCTATACTAGGTATTGTGAGGGACACAGATACATACATCTTGAATCCTACTCTTAAGAAGAATTAAATCAAGTTATTAAAATAAAAAATATTTGAGAATTTAAACATAAGAAACATTATAATGCTACAATGCTGACATTTTACGATCTACAAATAAAGAATTTGAATTTTCACGGTGCTCAATATCTGATGCTGTATCAAATAATTTCACTCAAAAGGCAGTGCCTATTATCAAATGACCAAAAAATAAATAAAAGGTTGCTTTGGAGGCTTAGAGACATATTGTGAGGCAGGTATCTTAACCTCACACAGCTTTTTGGGAGAATAAAAATATTTCAGAGAAATAAGAGTAAGAGGCATAAAAAGCCATATACAATTTTTTGATAACTATGCTAGGACAAACCATAAATACTCTAAGAAAGAGAAAGGAGATGCCAGGATGGTGTTGAGTGGTATGGGCCAGTTTCATTAGGGAGAAGCCTTATAAAAATAGTAAGAAGTTGTATAAGCAGAATGAGGATAGATTTTATATAGGAAAAAGATGTTAATAATAGCATGAAGTGAGCATATTACTGACAAAGAAAGAAGGGAAAATGCTAGTTTAATCAGCCAACCAGACAACCTAATTAATTTTAAGGGAGTAGTAAGAGATGAAGTTAGATGAATACAGTGAGATAAAATGCCTTGAGCACAAAGCAAATGTTTAAAGACTAGCAGGCAAGATTATGTGGACTGTGGAACAGGGCAATGTTTCAGAAAATTAATTTGGCAGTGGTATGCAGAATGCATTAGACAATGAAATGACACTCTTCCTTTTCTGCTCACCTCTGTCAGACTCATTCCCAGCAATACTCTTCTAACTGCACTCTACTCTCAACTTCATTTCTATTTCCAACAGACACACTGCTTCATCAGTCTACATTACATTGCTCCCTCATTTATATGCTGTTTGTTTCCAATTTCTCTGGTTTTAAAATCCTACTCATCCTTCAAGGTTTAACACAGGCACTACCCTAAGAAAGGCTTCTCCAAGGACTCCAGCCTGTGGTTCTCAGCAAGGGTAGCACCAACCGTCTGCTTCTAGAAGTTGGGGTAGGGGGTGGATTTTTAACAGTTGGAATGACCAGAGTGCTACAGGCATTGAGTGGGCAGGGGCAGGGATGGTCAACATCTTGCAATGCGTGGTACAGACACTCACATGAAGAAATGTCACGGCAGTAGTTCATGGTCTGCCATCATTGTCTTCATTCAAGTAAGTATTTGCCAAGCATTTATATTCACAAGGTACCACAAGAGATAGAAAGATCGGTGACAAACAGATCTTTCTTCTAACAGAGAAAAGGATGATTAAGCCAATAATACACATGAAAATACATTTTAATAAATACAGTTTTAAAGTGAATGTAATCTATCAATGTGAGAACACCTACCAGAGAGTCTAGTTACAATGTACTATATACAATAACTAGAAATGATTTTAATTGTTTTGTTGTTTGGCTGACTAACTGAAGCCTGAACTCAAGAATGGACTTCATTAAAGGTTGATGAGGTGCAAAACATTTCTCAGTATAATACAGAGAAGAAATCCAAAGACTCAAAGGAGATGTGAATGTTAAAATGTTAAACCATGCACTCCCAAGAGTGCCCAAAGACCCTTTCACCAATATACTGAGATATACATTAAATATATACCTCTTCTATATAGTAGCTGTTGGGAGTAGGCTGGAGATGCAGGTGGGAGACACTGAACAGGCTCCCTGATTTTAAAGGGATACTAGAATCTCAGGTTGGCAAAGGCCAAGCAGCAACACTTAGCCACCGTGGTCATGATCATGGGTTTCATTACATGCATACATATGTATATATAAAAAAACAATAACAAAAATCCAACATTTTCTATCAGGGGACTCATATTAAATGCTTTTTTCACTGAAACTTTCATCTTGTCAATCCTCCACTCATTCTCCCATCAGTGCTGACTGCTTGGCACACAGTCTTTCACATCTTTCTTCATGTTTAGAAAATCATATACAAACTCATATACACATATATATGAGGTTTTGTTATTGTTTTTATAGAAGAGATCATATTGTATACACATTTTTGGCATTTTGCTTTTCTCACCATATATTTATGCTTTTCTCACCAAATATAAATAATGGTCTTTTTAACAGTTGCATATTTCATACTTATAAAACACAATTGATTAAACTATCTCCTTGCCAATGTGCATGTGGGTTGATTTCAGGTTTTTATTTTTGTTTTATGCTATTAAAATAATGTTAAACATCCCTATGAGGCTTTTATGTCTATGGAATTTATTCCTAGGAGCAGAATTGCTGGGTTAAAGATATTAGTATTTTAAATTCGAATAGACAATTTCTTTTCCCGACTTCACATTTTCAAAAGTAAAGCGCATATATCCTTCTCATCTGTTTTCATAGGTCCAAAAGTCAATAATGAATTAATTCTTTTAATTCTTGGTGATTACTGAGCTCGTGCATATTTTCATAGGTTTATTGGCCATTTTGACTTACAATTTTCTGAACTATCTATTTATACTCTCTGCCTATTTTTCTCTTGGGCTGTTTGTCTTATTACTAGAAGCTCCTTGAATATTACAGATATTAACTCCTTATCTGTCTTGTTTTTACAAATATTTTTTCCAATCTATCTTCCAAATGGATAGCAACTAGTGCTTGCATTTTTAAAGACATTTCAAAATTAAAGTTTGACATGCAATAAAAAAGTGTGCAAATCACAAGTGGAGAGTGAGCCTCAAGAACTACTACAATATGAACCCCACCAAGGATACGAAAAGGATTACCAGCATTTAAGAAGTCCTCCTTATGCCCCTTCTCAAAGGTAACCGCCAACCTTACCATTAAGTTAATTGTATCTGCTTTTGAACTTCATATAAATATACTCTCTTTTCCCCCTTTTTTGAAATTAATCTGTATTGTTGTCTATAGCAGCAGGTAGTTGGTTTTTATAGCTATATAGTATTCTACTATACAAATAAACTATTATCAAAATCCATTTTATTGCTGACAGACATTTGAATTGTTTCTAGTTTTAGATTTTTGCAAGTAATGCTGCTATGAACATTCTTGTACATGTTGCCTGGTGCACTTGTATTTGCATTCCTAGATCATAAGGTATGCATATATTCCCAGATCATAAGGTATGCATACATTCAACTTTGATTGCTCCTACAGGCAGCCTATGAGAATTCCAGTACTCCACATGCAGCTAACACTGCTACTGTCATTCTTTTACTTCAATCATGCTGCAGTGTACACTGGTATCTATTTGGTTTTACTTTTCTCTGAATAATAAATAATTTCTCTGATTATTAACATGGCTGAGTAACTTTTATTGATCACTTGGATACTGTCTTTGTGAATGTCCTTTGTTTAGGTCTCCATTTTTTTCTATTAAATGGTATCCCCTTGATTTGTAGGAGCTCTTTATATTTTTATCATGAGCCCTCTATTATCAACATTATTTTACATAAACCACACTTTTCCCACTGAATTGAGGCATCATTTTTGTCATGAATTAGCTCCCATATATATAGAGATCAATTTCAAAATGCTAATTTGTTCCACTATTTGTCTATTTTATACCAGTATTACAGTATTTAAATTATAGTTTATTCATAGCATGTTTAATATTTGTTAAGGCAAGTTCCTATCTCCACACATATCTATTAAAAATACATATAAACTTAATTTTGGATATTTACTCTTCTATATATAATTTAGAAAAATATTATCCAATCCTTTCCTTAACAAAAAGCCAACCCTACTGAGATTCTAATTGGAGTTTCATTAAATTTCTATATTAATTTTGAGATAGTAGGCATTTTGATATTAAGGCTTCATTCATATCCAAGCACATACGTTTTTCAGTGTGTTCAGGTCTCATTCTAATCAATAAGATTTTTAAATTTTTTAAGTCCTCTTTCT